GTGGAAAACCCTTCCTGTTCCTTGAGGAGAAGGTTTTCAGCCCTGTGGTTGATGCCTTTGAAGGCTGCCATAGAAAAGAGACCAGACAGGGCTAAAGAATAAAGCAGAGATTTATTAGGAGGCTTCAAGAGATCCACCTTGGACAGCACAAGAGCTTAGCCAGGGCTAGACCCTACATGAACTCAAAAATGGTCACAAAATGGACAAGCAGTCCTCCTGTTGTGATGCCAGCTCTGTGCTGAGCCAGGGTGATCATCCCTGGGTTTGATGCCACACCAAATTCACCACTGAGAGTCCTGGGCCTGGGGATGGGAGCCAGGCAGGATTTCCAAGGTCAAGCTGGAAAACCAAAGCTGCAGAGCTCAGTGGTGGAAAACCCTTCCTGATCCTTCAGGAGAAGACTTATCAGCCCTGTGGTGTCCTCCTCCTCTGTGACAAATAAGGGCAGCCCCATGGCAGATCATCCCTGGGTTTGATGCCACACAAAATTAATCACTGAGAGCCCTGGCCCTGTGGCTCCTGAGCCTGGGCACGTGGGCCAGACAGAGTTTTCAAATCTGAGTTGGAAAAGCAAAGCTGCAGAGCTCAGTGATGGAAAACCCCTCCTGTTCCTTCAGGAGAAGATTTTCAGCCCTGTGGGTCCTCCTGTTGTGATGCCAGCTCTGTGCTGAACCAGGGTTTGATGCCACACCAAACACACCGAGAGGCTTTGCCATTTGGAAGGAACAGTTCTGTAAAGAGGAAACAGCTTGAATTCTGCAATAAAAACCCCAAACACAAAGAGTGATGCCCTGAGCCGCCTGCAGCCTGCTCCTTGTCAGCAATGATGCCAGGGAAAGGCTCTGTAATGGTGCTGGTGTGCAGCATTCCATCCTGCAGCACAATCCTGGCTGACAGCTGAGCCTGGCTCTTTGGAGGAGCTGTGATTATTTCCTTTTATTTGTCAAAAAAAGAAGTGTATGTTTTTTTTAGAACAGCCCTTTTAAATATATCAAAGTAGCAGAGATTGGAAAAGGCTTTTGGAACAAAGACTAAGCCTGGTAAAGGAAGGGGATGTGATTGCTCTGACAGGAGGATTTTCCTCCCTCCATTTGTGTGTTATGTTGCCATTTCTTGTGGTTTCTCACATGCAGGAGATTTTCTGGGTTGTTTCAAATGGGTCAAAGTTGGGCTTTTTAAACAAGAATATTTCATATATTTATTTCATATGTTTCCATATTTCACCATGATTCAAGGGTAAGAAGTTCTTTAAATCTGTATTTGAAATTCTACACGTTAAATCTCAGAAATATCCCAATGACCTCATGATGAGCTGATGGCTGAGCATCTCCTCATTACACAGAACACTGTAATAAATCCCTGCAGGATTTTATTTATTTTATTTATTTTATTAAACATCTGCAGGATTTGCAAATCCACCTGCCAAGCTCCCAGTGCCTGACATTCCCCCACACAATGGGGATGCAGTTTCTTTCCAATTGTGTTGTTTTGCAAAGCGTCAATGTCCCCAAAGCCACCAGAGCTCTCTGCCACGTGACACTCTGCGTGTGTTGTCATCTGTGTTTGTCACATGTGAAAATCATGGATTAGTTCAGAGAAGTTTCCAAAAGTCAAAGAAATCCTGCCCTGCCTCTGAATTTCAGTTCCAACGAAGCCTAAAAAGAATCAAAAACAAAAAAAGCTTTGAAAAGCTGTGAAAGCACACCAGACACAGTTTCCATATTTCACCATGATTCAAGGGTAAGAAGTTCTTTAAATCTGTATTTTAAATTCTACACTTTAAATCTCAGAACTATCCCAACGACCTGCAGTGCCTGACATTCCCCACACAATGGGGATTCAATTTCCTTCCAGTTGTGCTGTTTTGCAAAGCCTCAATGTCCCCAAAGCCACCAGAGCTCTCAGCCACTGCTGTGTGACACTTTGCACATGCTGTCTGTGGAATTTTCCATCACTCAGGGTCACCAGTTGTGGTGATGTCCACAGGGGTCCCAGGATGAGGGAAGAGATGAGAACCTTGACTCCATGTTTCAGAAGGCTAATTTATTATTTTATGATATATATTATATTAAAAGAAAGTTATACATTAAAACTGTACTAAAAGAATAGAAGAAAGGATTTCATCAGAAGGCTTGAAAGGAAGGGAATGGAATGCTAATAAAATCTTGGGACTGACCAGAGAGTCCGAGCCAGCTGACTGTGATTGGCCATTAATTAAAAACAAGCACATGAGACCAATCCCAGATGCACCTGTTGCATTCCACAGCAGCAGATAACCATTGTTTACATTTCATTTCTGAGGCCTCCCAGCTTCTCAGGAGAAAAATCCTGGCAAAGGGATTTTACAGAAAATATCATGTCTACACTGTCACCTGTGAAAATCATGGATTAGTTCAGAGAAGTTGCCAAAAGTCAAAGAAATCCTACCTCTGAATTTCAGTTCCAATGAAGCCTAAAAAGAATTTTTTTTAGAAAAAAAGGCTGTGAAAGCACACCAGAGTCAGAGTGAGGCCCTCCCAGGCATGGCACTGTGAAACTGCAGTGCCACCCAGCCCCAGAGCCCTGCCTGTTATCGGGCGCAGCAGATGCTGGAGCACATCAGGAGGCAGCAGGGCCACATTGTCCTGCTCTGCTCCCAGCTCTGGCTGCACACACGGATTTACCTCGCCAGGAGCTCCTCCTTTGTTCTCTGCTCTCAGGGAGCCACTGGAGCTCGGCAAAGCTGAGGATGCTGAACCAGATCTGGCGTCCAAAACTGTAGATTTGAGAGGTTTTATGTAAATAAAAGAAGCCTGGAATGCATCCATTCTGATTTTTTTTTCATTCCACAGCACTGGTGCTGCTGGCAGTGGATGTTTAGGCTCTGCCTTCACGCTCCTGGCTGGGATTAATTTGTTTTTAATGGATATTTGCTTCTGTGTTTTGCCCCTGTGACCAATTCCACGTTAGAGCTCCGTCCCAGCCAGCAAACACGAGCAGGGCTGGGGAATGTCAGTGCCAGCAGAGGCTGATCAGCTGTGCCTGGGATGCCTCAAATCATCTGCAGCCACTGTAAAACTGCTAATTGCACCGCTCAGCCAGCTGAAGACAGCACACAAGTGGGAAAGGGGGGTAATTTTTCACCCCTAACTGCTCAATATCAAATAAAATGGGAGATTACAACGCTAGTATTGTCATTTGTGAGTTACACACAAACCCAGCTTGGTTTTTCTGCCACTTGGCATCACCACTTCCAACCAGAGGTCAGTTTGTCTTGTCCACGGCTGCTCTGTGTAAATCTTAAGATTTATTTTAAACATCCAATGGCAATTACCAAAGTGAAGTCCATCACCCATCACTTGCACACAGGAGCACGGTCACATCCTGTTCCCAAGGGCTTGGAAATGCCTGGGGAAATAAAAATAGAGTAAGGGAACTTTAGAACCTGCTGGAACTAAGGTTGGGAGTCAAGGGGGGAAGGGGTTGAGTGTGACCCCCCCCTCCTATTTAAGCCCAGGTGAGGCTTTGGCTCCCAGGTGAGGGATCTTTAGTGGGGTGAGGAGCTGTGCTGGTGAGCAGGGGCTCTGTGAGCTCTTTTGCTGCTTGGTTTTTATGGGATGGGTTCCTTGCTTTAATTCATGCACATTTTTACAGTCTGGGCCTCTTTGAGCACAAGTAATTTTGTTGGGTTTAATTGTTTTGTTGAATTAATTTTGTGCTGAGAGATGCTATCTTACCTTTTACTTTGCTTGTGTCTCTTGCAGTCCTCTCCTAATGTTATTATTCAGGAATAAACCCTGCTCTGTCCTGTGAATTTCAAATTTATCTGTAATTTTTTTCCTGCCTGCCTTGCTTCTCTTCCCTCCTGCTCCCTTCTATTACTGGAAGTCTAAACATTTCCTTGTCTGGAGTGGAGAGTGGCTCCTGAGATCTGCCACTGTTTTTCAGTGCTCTGCTTTGACAAATTCACTCTTTTTTCCCTCTTTTCAAACTGTTATTTCTTAAGAGGTCTCTGTGTCTCCCCTGGTGCAATTCCACCTGTTCTGGGTGGTAATTGGGTGATTAACTCACCCTAATGAGTGTGGGCTAATAAATATCCATTTCCACAGGTGTGAAGCCCCTTCCTCCTCTGGAACCAGAGCACCCAGCTCCTCCTCAGTCCCTTGGAGTGTCTGTGTCCCCTGCGGCCATGGGAGGTGTTTTTGGGAAGAACAGGAGGCCCTGTGTGTTCCCCAGGGTGGTTTTCAGGGCCAGGGGCAGGAGGGCTGCCCGGGTGTGCTGCGATGCAGCCACCTGGACCGGCGAGAGCCATTTCTGCTCCGCGCGCATCCGCACGCGGGCGAGGCGCCCCGAGCCCCCTGCTGCCACAATGGTGCTGGAAGCTTCTGGAAGTGAATTTGGAGACGAGGAAGGAGACTCAGCATCCTCCCCAAGGGCACAGCACAGCGAGGCCTCAGCCCCTGTGGCTGCCAGAGACACACCAGGGGCTGAGCTGTCCCAGCAGCCCGAAGGCGATCCTCAGCCAGAGCTGCTGGAAGCCCAGGAACTCCCAGGAGAGGCACAAGGACCCCAAAATCCCCAGGAGAGCAGCGAGGCTGAGGCTGCTCAGTGTCCCCCTGGCAGCTCTTTGTCCCCTGAGCCCCGCTGTGGGGAGCAGGGGGTGACACCTCTCACTAGGACCACGGTGGAGGTTGATGTTCATGTGTCTGCTGAGCATGGCCAGGGTGAGGCTGGTGCAGGGTCTGAGCTGCTGAGGGATGCAGGGCACGAGGCTGAGGGTGCTGCAGAGGACACCTGTGTTGGGCAGGTTCCTTGGGAAGTGCCTGTGCAGAAGGCAGGTGACACCACGGCTGCTTTGTGTCCCCTGGAGGAGCCAGAAGCAGGAGAGGATATGGCAGATGGGCAGGGGGCACCAGAAACTGAAGCTCCACTTGATCTCCAGCTGGGCCAAGGTGAGATTGGAGCTCCTGAAGGTGTGGAAGGAGCTGCTGGTGGGGCAGGGCAGGATGAAGAGAAGGCAGAGGAGAGCCCAGCCTGCCTCCCGGAAATGCAGCAGCAGGAAGAGGAGGAGGAGAAAATCCAAATTAGCAGCGAGGGAGAGCCACAGGAGCACTGAAGGAGCACTTGGAACCTGGAGCAGCAGCCATGGAGCACCTTCATCAACCAGAGCTGAACCTGCTGCCTCCACCCTGCCAAATGGGGCTTGTGCCCCAAAGGACCCAGATTCAGGGTGGTGGTGGCAGAACCTCCTTTGAAAAACTGAAAATTAAGGTGCTAAACTGAGAATTTGTGTGCTCTGCAAGTGGCACTGCCCTCCCGTCCCTGCTGGGGCTGTTCCACGGTACAGAAAGTCTATTTATGTATTTATTTATGTTTTTATACCCTGCCTAGGGCTGTGCACTTCATGGTATCTCCCTCTGTGTGTGTGGCTGCACAGGGTTAAGTGATGTCTAATTTATTAATTACACTTGTTCCTCTCACCCCACTGGCTTGTCACCACTATTGGAAATGCATTGTGTGATGTCTGTTGCAATTGGAATCAATAAATGTTAAATCATTTTAACACTGGCTGCTATGAAATGTTGGGTTAAGAATGCTCTGATAATTCATTTCTGGTATTTGCATTGGCTCCAATGCCAGAACTGATGTTTTTACCCTTTGTAAAGTGTTTGGTAAAATACTGAATGCTGATACCAGTGGCCTCAGAATGAAAGCTGCTCCTCCCCTGGTGATTGCCTCGCAAATCTTGGAACACCAACTGGGCTTGTTGTGCTTAGACCCAATAAAATGAAAGATGAAAGGCTGAACTTCCAAATGTGACTCATTTACAGCATTTGCTTTGCAGAACTTGGCATTTTCTTTATGGTTTGCACTGGCTGGGTGGAGGTCAAGGAGCTCAGGCTGGAGGCCTGTGGAAGGAGCTGTAAACAACAAAAAAAGCTGCTTGTGGTCATTTTGCTGCAAATAATCAATAAATTTCTGGCACCTGCATATCCAATGCGAATCTCTAATTACACAGTGCTAAACAGAAGGGAGTTTTCCCATCGAACCTGACTGGTGGCACAGCTCTCACTGAATTTAGGAATTGTGTGGTGCAGCAGGGAATGAGGGAAACAATTCAGCTTCATTTCTTTCAAGCAAAAGGTTTTTACACAATATTATTCTGCTAGAACTCATGGGGATTCAAAAAAATATATAATAAGAGGGAAATAATTGTTTGTATTAGCTGGAAAACTCCAATGTGAAGGAGAGCAAGATCCTCCCCAAGGAAAGCATTTCCAGCTCTGGTGTTCTGTGTGCACCCTCACCAACAGCACTCACAGAGACAAGAAATGATGGTTAAATGATGGAACTGGGGATGATGAATTAAAGGCAAATCAGGAGCTGGTGATGTTGAATTAAAGGCAAACCAGGAGATGAGGATGTGGAGTTAAAGGAAAACCAGGAACTGGGGATGGTTGAGCTAAAGGCAGTCCAAGAGCTGGGGATGCTGGGTTAAAGGAAGCCAGGAGATGAGGATGTGGAGTTAAAGGCAAACCTGGAGCTGTGGATGTTGGGTTAAAGGCAAACCAGGAGATGAGGATGTGGAGTTAAAAGCAAACCAGGAGCTGGGGATGTTGAGCACAACCCTTCTATTTAAGGCATGATTGATTTTACTGTCTTTAAATGCTTAATCACATCAGGATTTTGATGCACCCATAAAAAGCTTTCCTGTGGCTCCAAAGCCCAGGCTGCCACACTCCAAACCTCTCTGCTTAAGCCAGACTTGCTTAATTTTATTTTTTTTCCTTATGACCCAATATGATTGAGGGCCTGCCCATGGAAATATCTGCCCTTAAATAACTCAGAGGTTGCTCCTCATGTTCCCAAAGGTTCTGGGTTTGGCTGCCTCTGGCAAAGCTCTGCTGTTAGGCTGGAGATGATGTCCTTGTGTCAGAGAATTTAGATTTACAAATCAGTGAGTTGGCAGCTCCTCCTGGCCAGGAGAGCACAGAGGCCTGAGGAAATCATGGGGAAAGAAGCAGAGAGCAACAAAAACCTCTGTGCATCGCTGTGCCCCTCTCTCAGATGTTCACATCAACCACTGTCACTGTGTTTTGTGCTTGTGATTTATAAAAGCATCCCAGAGCTCATGGACTCCTGTTAAAATTACACAGCAGCTCCTTCCCCCTGTGACTGGAGGTGTGGGGCTAATCAAGAGTGACAATAAATACATAATTACATGGCACTGTTGGTGCCACACTGAAAGGGGTGACAGGGATCAATTTCCACCCCAAGAGGAATCATGCAGAATAATTCTGCAGGCTGGAGTCTCACAGACATCATCCCAAAACCTGCCAGGTGATCACCAAATTACAGGAACAAAAGTGGGGCTGTGCAGCTCTTCAATTCTGCTGGAATTTTGGTGTTTACATCTAATTAGCAAAGCTGCAATCTGAATCAGGGGCATTCTCTCATGCTCTGGAAAAGGAATGGTTTCTTCCTTCCTTTCTCAGAAAAATCATGGAATAATCTCCCTGCAATGCTGCAGGAATTTTGGGGATGAAGTTTCTGCAGTGCCCTGACTTCAGTTACACCAATCTGAGTGTTTGCCATGTAAAAAGTTCCATGGTTTAAAAGGGAAAAATCAGCTAAAATTCCTCTTACAATATTCCAGTTCTGCTGCTTTTTTATCATCACATTCATCTGGGATTTTCTGATGTGCCCCAAGTTCTGTAAAGCACAGGCTCTGTAAAGCTAAGCTTTACCCTCAGTTTTTCCTGGTTTGCTCTGTCCTTGTGTGACCTACCCAAAATTACACAAGGGGGAGGTTTGGCTTTGGCAATTTTAATGGCTTTAAAAGCCTTTGTCAGAGGAGGCCGCCTCATTTCTGATATTTGCATTGACTCTAGTGACAGAACTGATGGTTTTGCCCTTTTCAGCTTGTGAAGTGTTTGGTAAAATGCTGAATATTGATACCAGTGGCCTTAGAATGAAAGCTGCTCCTTCCCTGGTGATTTCCTTGCAGATCTTGGAACACCAACTGGGCTTGCTGTGCTTAGACCAGATAAAACAAAAGATGGAAGGCTAAACTTCCAAATGTGACTCATTTAGAGCAAGGTCTGGAAGCACCTTAATGCTTTGAAACTCCTATTCCTGCCCTGAGAGCAGGGAAAGCCCATCCTGGAGCAGCAGAACTCCTGCACTGTGGGGACACAGGGCACTGGGAATATTTCTGTGTCTGCTCTGGGGTGCCCTGACCCCCAGGGCAGCTCTGACTCTGACCCTCATCCATGGAGAAAGCTTCCAAGACTTCAAGATAGACTGGAATCCACAAAAATGTGAAATAGACTGTTGGTGGTCACAAATTGTTGGGGTGTTGTAGGTCCCCAGAACGAGGTGAGAGATGAGAATTATCTCCAAGTTCTCAGAAGGCTGATATGATATAATAAGATATTATTATATGAAAATTATATACTAAAACTATACTAAAGAAAGACAAAGGATACCTCAAAAGGCCAGAAAAGAATGATAATAAAAACCCATGACTGACAAGAGTCCTGACACAGCTGGACTGGGATTGGTCATTAAATTAGAACAATTCACATGCTGGGTAAAGAATTCTCTAAAAACAATTCACATGCTAAATAAACAATTCTCCAAATCACATTCCAGAGGAGCAAAACACTGAGAAGCTGAAGCTTCTCATCTTGCCAGGAGAAGAAATCTTGGTGAAGGAATTTTTCATAAAATATCACAGTGACAGTAGATTATAGAGAGTAGTGTAGCATGACACTTGGGTGAAAAATTTAGGTTTTGGGATTTTTAATATGGTGTAGATGGGAACAAGATGGAGGTGTTGTCCCAAGCTCCTTCTTCTTGCTTCTTCTTCCTTCTTTGTCACATTCGTATTTTCAGAAAAATCCCTTCACCAGGATTTTTCTCCTGGGAAGCTGGGAAGCCTCAGAGAAAAAGGAAAACAATAATTATCTGATTTGCTTCTCCTGTGTTTTGCTGCATATTTCCAAGAATATGTTTGGAGATTGTTTCGTTGGTTTCATGTGAATTGTTTTGACTCATTGGCCAATCACAGCCAAGCTGTGTTGGGACTCTGGAGAGAGTCACAAGTTTTCATTATTATCTTTTAGCCTTCTGTCTGTATTCTTTAGTATAGTTTAGCATTCTTTAATATAATATAGTATCATAAAATAATAAATTATTTCTGAGAACATGGAGTCAGATTCCTCATTCCTTCCTTCATCTGGGGGACCCAGCAAATACAACCCAACCCTGCACCACCCAGCAGGGCACATCCCTGACTGCTCCACACTCTGTCACTGATGAGTGAAGGCAAATTCCACTTCTCAGAATCACAGAATCACAGAATTTCTAGGTTGGACAAGATCTTTAAGATCATCGAGTCCAACCCATGTTTTAACACCTCAACTAGATCATGGCACCCAGTGCCACATCCAGTCTTTTTTTAAACACATTGAGGGATGATGACTACACCATCACCCTGGGTAGATGATTCCAGTGTTTGACCACTCTTTCTGTGAAAAACTTCCTCCTTAATTCCTCTTAATTCTGACTGCTCTGTCCTTTTAGGCAAGTCCTGATGGGAGGATTTCTGAGAATGCAGTGGTGTGGCTCTAACCCAGTGCATTCCCAGGCTCCAGGCTGCCCTCTTAGGATGATGAGCAGCAAATTCCCTGCTGAAATCCACCATGGTTCACTGCAAATGGGGCTGAAGCAGCATCACCCACTCACACAACTGCCTTGGAGTGCAATCTCATTTTTTGGTGTTTGGGAAATCTTAGCTCCTGTCGCTAAGGATCCTTGCTTTGAACTTTTATAATTAAATTTCCTGTCATTCAGCAGGAAACCTTAAAAAAAAAGAATTGGTTACACTTGAGAAAGTAAAACCTCAGGGGTGTTTAGGAGCTGCTGGAGCTGTTAGGAACTCCAGTGTTTCTCTTCCTTTTGAAGCACCTTTATAAATAATCACCCTCCTCATCACAGTAAATCTGTTTCTCCTGAACTCTTACACAACAAATAGAAAATTCTGAAAACAACTGGTCAAAAACCAAACACTTCCCTTATCCAGAGGTCAATTTCTTGTTCAATACAAAACAATTTTGCATTGCTTTGGTTGTTGGATGCCTGCCTGGCTTTCTGGAACACAAGAATTTATTTCCTTCCTCACACTCTCCTTTCTGCACAACATCCAAGGAGCCCAGATGAAAAATCCCAAAATCTCCAGTGATCTGACAATCAAACCCAACCACGATGTGAAAGCTGAAAAAGTTCTGAAACAAAAACCACTCAAAACATCCTTCATGAGAGAGAAAGAGAGAAAAGATGATCACAAACCTCCCCCAGCTCTGCCTCCTTTGCTGCCAAGTGCCTGCAGCACCTCCCAGCAGATGAAAAGCACCCAGAGCTGTTCCTGAGGATGCTCTGGGCCTGCAGCACCTCAGCTGCAAGGGAATTCCCTCAGTTCCATCCTGCGGCTGCTGCTCTGCAGCCACAGCATCCCAGGGGGGTCTGGGATGAAAAGGATCTCAAAAATCATCTCTCCACTACCCCAGGGTGCTCCAAGCCCTGTCCAACCTGGAATTTGGCACTCCCAGGGATGGGGCAGCCACAGCTGCTCTGTGCCAGGGCCTCACCATCCTCACAGGCGAGGATTTTTTCCTAAATCCCCCCTCTGAACTGTTTTCTGTCAGTTTGGAGCCATTCCCCCTTGTCCCCTTGCTGTCAGAAGTCTCTCCCAGCTGTCACTGTGCAGAGAGAGA